CAAAGTTCTTGAAATGTTCCGTATTGACTGACCTTCATGTCTTAAAGTAATGATGGATTGTCGTTTCTCTTTGCTTATTTGAGCTGTTCTTGCCATAATATGGACTTGGTCTTTTACCAAATAGGGCTATCTTCTGTATACCCCACTTACCTTGTCACAACACAACTGATTGGCTCAAACGCATTAAGGAAAGAAATTCCACAAATTAACTTTTAAGAAGGCCCACCTGTTAATTGAAATGCATTCCAGGTGACTACCTCATGAAGTTGGTTGAGAGAATGCCAAGAGTGTGCAAAGCTGTCATCAAGGCAAAGGGTGGCTACTTTGAAGAATCTAAAATCTAAAATATATTTTGATTTGTTTAACACTTTTTTGGTTACTTCTTGATTCCATATGTGTTATTTCATAGTTTTGATGTCTTCACTATTATTCTACAATGTAGAAAATAGTAAAAATCAAGAAAAACCCTTGAAAGAGTAGGTGTTCTAAAACTTTTGACCAGTAGTGTACTTCCAACAATTCACACAGAGAAAATGGTCAATGATTCAGAATCAACTCACCTCTGACTGTACTATACTGTACCTACTCCCGTATATCTCCACTTTTAGAGATATACTGTGCATCTTCGGACGAAGAAAAGCAGCTAGAGGAAAGAGTAACATAAATAATTGTGGTACTTCTCTCTTTTCCTCAAATAAATAGAATTGCGTAGTAATTCTACAATGGTGATTCTGTTTCCATGTATGACCGCACCCTAGAGAGCGTTGAATGTATAGACAGGCCGAGCATGACTAGCAGTGACATACTGAAGACAGGCTTGCTCATTGATTACAGATTGTTGACGTATGCGTGCAGGCATGTGTATAGGGAGATTTCCCGTTTGTGATTGTACCTCTGTTTCTGTGCCTGCCTTTGTTGCTTTGTTTATCTCTTTGGGCACCTGAGTCTTTCAATGTCTGTGATTTTCTCTTTGTTTGCATCTGCGAATAGAGATATAGCCTATATTTCCACCTGTGTGCTTTCTGTGCTCTGTAATTCTCTGTACATGTTCAGATGTGGCGTCCTGGTGTATTTGTGTGATGTGAAGGGAGAGATGAGGGAGCGGAGAGGAGAGGGGGGGATGGGGTGGCAGGTTGATTATAGTCGCAGGTCTCGTTGCCAGGAGACGGCAGGGACGAGGGATGCCAGGTTGCTAGGTAACCGGCACGATGCAATGACCAGCGCTGTGTGATGGAGCGGAGGGAGGCGGAAGGCAAAATTGTCTTTGTGCGCCCCCACCTCCCTCTTCCCTCCCTCCCTCCCTGTAAACACTCCTGAAAGAGACAGAGATGGTATCCACTGATATATTTACCGTTCAGTCACTGCTTTTCGGGCAGACAGGCAGAATGTATTTAAATGGGAGAGAAATGTGTCACCCTCTTTACTGCAGCCTGTTTGGGGCTTATTGATACAGTGAGTGAGTGGAGGGGACAGAGATTATGAGCTGTCCTCTGGTTTGTAAGAGGGCAAGAGAGGAGAGAAATGTGATGAAGAATGTGATTAACAGGGATATACACACCCTGTCTCTCCTATCATCTCCCATGCCACATTCACACTACTCTATAAATGCAAGTTTGAGTGTGTGTGTGTGTGCACAAGCATCTGTAGGGTGATGTGTGTCTGCATTGAGGGGATGTGGTCAGGCGTGGGGGAGGGGTCTTGCTGTGATTTGATTGGATAATCTATGGATTTAATATCTCACACTGTAATCCTAGCGAAATCCCTTTTGGCATCACGGAGGGAAATATTAACTGTGTGTGCTCATGTCAATGTGAGCAAGAGAGTGTTTACATATTAGGCTGCCATGAACAGACAGTGTATGTGTCTACAGACTGCCTATGTGGACATTTGTGTTTGTGCCATTGTGTTTGTAGAGTTTGCAAAATAATCATAATGTCTCTGTAGATTTGGATTTTAACAACGACAACATTAACATTTAGAGCTAAAATGGGTCACAGATAGGGCGGGTTTGGCCTTTGGCTGTGTTTTATCTGTGCTGTGTTTTTTTTAAATGAGCTTGTTGATTTGCAGAGAAAATATAGAAGAGAGAAAGATTAAGTGGCTCGGCTCGCACAGTGGAATAGAAGGAGACATTTTCTTGGTCCCTACAGTATCTGCCCTTGTGGCAGCAGTTAAATGCAACAGGCACCATCCCTTGTCCTTTTTGTCCCTGAAATTCCAGTTCTCCCCCAAAGCATCCTTTCTCCCTCACCACATACACATCTAATAATCCCACTGTCTCTCGACCTAGTACCACCCTTTTATTCGTTTTTTCTCTCCTTCATCCCTCTCTTTTCTTCTCCTACGCACGTTGTTCGGGGCAACCTTGTTTACCTGCTGTGGATCTCATCACAAGGATGTCATGGTGACGGCAATGCGAGATGGAGACTTTGTCAGAGGAGCAGGGCTGGTTGCCGTGCCGATGGCCTCCCCTTCTCCAAGCCCTGCTCTTGTATATTCTGATTCCATTCTCTTGTGCCATCTGCTCCTCTCCTCCTCTCCTTATCATAACCGTGGTTACCGTGGAAGCACTCAAGTCATAGATTGCGTAACCTAGCATTTATATTAAATATACTGTTTTATTCAGAGCATATTATATCCTGAAATTCGATTTGAGACTGTTCATATAAATCTATCTATCAAACAAATGTTGCGTCATGATGAGGTAGTCATTAAAGTCCAACTTTAGGCTAAAACGTGATATTTTAGTTTTGTTCTGTGTTTTTTTATACAGTAATCTTTAACCCGATGCAAATTAGGACCGCATTTACTCCGCAACTCATTTAGAGGGTGACTTTATCCAAGGTGTCTTTGTTGAACATTTTAGGCGTGTAGAAAAACATCACCTCTGAGAAGAAAATTATATTATATTTACTGACTGCCGGGAATATTCATGACGTACACATGCATTTTAATTACTGCTTTCAATTCTCCCTGGTAAACAGGTGCTTCTCAATCCACATGGTCATCGAATTAATTGTCGTAATCAATGGCTCATTCTCCATTAGAAAACACAAGGCCTGCTGGTGATGGTGTTTGTGCATGCAGGTGGCAAGGGCCCAGCCAGCACTTATCAATACTGTCTCTCGGTGACCGATCACAGCTGATCAATCAGTGACAGGGATCAGTGACTGGCTAAAATGTCACCAGCTCCATAATTAAGACCTTCATTAAGCCACAGTTAACACACTGTCAGTCTGCCCCGCTCCTCTCTGCTCGCCAGTCCCAGTCCTCTCTACACCCTCCATCCGCTCTCCTTCTCACTGCACCACCACACATTTGAAAGAGAGCATTGAAGTGCCTAGCTAGGCCTACATCATTATAAGGATTGTGTCAATGGTCCACAACTGTTGTGAAGTAACTTTTGTGGATTTGGTTTTGATGACGTGTGAAAGGTCTGTTTCCTCCTTTTGTTTAGTTGCTCTCTCCTCACTCTGGTCTGATTCTGATTCTGTCCATTCCTCTACAGCTCCTTCCCCCGCTCTCTCTGTTCAGAATCTTTCACCATTCTAATCCAGCATGCTTCGGTAATCCAGATTAGCCGGCGAGCATTCTTAATCTTATCACTTGCCCAATCCCGCGTGGGTGTGTGCTTTTCCTGTTTTTTTGTGTGATAGGGAGAGAAGGAACGATAGAGGACAGGATTAGATAAGGGCATTTCAGAGAGAGAGCGAGAGGGAGGGGGACAAAAAAAGAGAATGAGATATCTGGAACAGTGTTACTGACTCTGGGAGGGAATATAATTGATAGGGAATGAGAGAGGAGAGGAAAAGGAGAGCAGTAAGCCAGGAGGGTGATGGGTAGAGGCAGGGCAGGGGAGTGGGAGCTCAGAGGGAGTGGCCCAGGGAGTGGGAGCTCAGAGGGAGTGGCCAGCTCACATTCCAGCCCTTTCTTGTGTTCTACATACATATACACAATATGCATATGCATGTATGTACAGTACATATGCAAATAAACAAGCATCTGCATAATTATGGATGTGCCTTGGGATAAGAGCAACTTACTTACTGACCATGTAATGTGGGCTTTCTATTTCAGATGAACCGGCCCATTCAAGTGAAGCCAGCAGACAGCGAGGGCAGAGGGGGTAAGAGACATCCGTCCATAGCAACACCTGTTCAAACAACACCTGAAAAGAATTGCAACTGTTCAAACAACACCTCTCCAAAACACCTGTCTAACATATTACCTTTTTGAAACAACACTCCATTTCAAACAAACTACAGTGTTTCAAGACAAAACCCTGAAACAGCTTCAGCCCAGCTTCAACAAAAATACCCACTCATCACTGCTTCTAAGCAACATCTGCTTCTAAATAATACCTCTAGAAATATTAGTAACTCTCTTTCCCATCCTCCTAACCCTCCCCAAATATTCAAATAGTAGCATTCTTAAGTGCCTGACTACAGAAAGTAATTATAATAACAATTTCAACTGCTTATTTCATGACCTCAAAGACATTAAGTCACCAAGCATACAGAATAGTGGATGACGAAGGAGCATTCCAGTCATAGCCGGATCATTCTCTTTGTACAGCAGGTTTCTTTGACACTGCACTCTGGTGGCCTTTTCCATATATAGCAGGGTTATAGCACAATAGTCACATACATCAATATACTGTATGTTGTAACATCCTACATGAATGTGGTCCTCTCTAGCTCAATTGGTAGAGCATGGCGCTTGTAACGCCAGGGTAGTGGGTTCGATCCCCGGGACCACCCATACGTAAAAATGTATGCACACATGATTGTAAGTCGCTTTGGATAGAAGCGTCTGCTAAATGGCATATTATTATATTATGCCTAACAATTTAGCTGAAAGATTAACACAAATTGGGTTTATAAAGCAAAGTAAACCATTCCTGAGCATGTTCTTGTGTTGTATGATAATAACTTTTTTCTCTTGACCTACATTTGATCATTGTTTTCTCTCTCAATCATTAAATCATTCCATTTCAATCCATGCCCTTTGCCTCTACCTATTCTTGCCCTCAACCAACCACTCTCTCTGCTCTTCCCTCCATCACTCTCTGTCCATATTCCTCTCTCTTCGTTCCTGTCTTGGCCCTTCACCTCACCTTCCCCTTAGAAGACAGGAAGCTGTTTGTGGGCATGCTGGGGAAACAGCAGTCAGATGTGGACGTGAGGAAAATGTTTGAGGCGTTTGGGAGCATTGAAGAGTGCACAGTGCTCCGCGGGCCTGACGGCACTAGCAAAGGTAGCTAACACTATTACTGCAACACTGACAGCTACAACGCCTTTCATCAACAGCATTAATATTACCATTAAGGTCAGGAATCAGTCACATCTAAACTCGTGACACTACAAACATAGATGCTTAATTTTCTGTGTTTGTTGTTTGAGGCATGACTAATGATCCAATATGTTTTATAGGTCATAGTTAATGATGCGCAACACAGTTTATGGGCTATGATTGATGAAGCAATGAATGTTTTGTGGACCACGGTTAATGACGCGGCTATAACTGATGAAGTGCCGAATGTGCGATGCATTTTATAGGTCGTAGCCTGACATATGTTGTCACGTGAGGGGGGCCAGGGTTTGACGATGTGTCATGTTTTGTAGGCTGTGCCTTCGTGAAGTACCAGAACAACGCAGAGGCTGCGGCAGCCATCAGCACTCTGCATGGGAGCCGCACTCTACCGGTCTGTCACTCACACACTCACACACTCACACACACACACACACACTCTCCAAAGCAGTCATTTAGACATTTAACATAGCGACTCATCAACAGTTAAACACTGCTACTGTCAGACCTCCTCCTACACAAACACAGCCTACTGTAGTTCATAGGAGTGGAGAAAATGTTTGTGGAATGTCCTTCTCAGTCCTCATTTTACAGTGATATACGTAATTTGGTACAGTGATGTGTCATTTTCACTACAGACAATCCAGGCATAGCCTACTGTAGTTTATACAGTGAGGGGAAAAAAGTATTTGATCCCCTGCTGATTTTGTACGTTTGCCCACTGACAAAGAAATGATCAGTCTATAATTTTAATGGTAGGTTTATTTGAACAGTGAGAGACAGAATAACAACAACAAATTCCAGAAAAACCCATGTCAAAAATTGTATAAATTGATTTGCATTTTAATGAGGGAAATAAGTATTTGACCCCCTCTCAATCAGAAAGATTTCTGGCTCCCAGGTGTCTTTTATACAGGTAACGAGCTGAGATTAGGAGCACACTCTTAAAGGGAGTGTTCCTAATCTCAGTTTGTTACCTGTATAAAAGACACCTGTCCACAGAAGCAATCAATCAATCAGATTTCCACCATGGCCAAGACCAAAGAGCTCTCCAAGGATGTCAGGGACAAGATTGTAGACCTACACACGGCTGGAATGGGCTACAAGACCATCGCCAAGCAGCTTGGTGAGAAGGTGACAACAGTTGGTGCGATTATTCGCAAATGGAAGAAACACAAAATAACTGTCAATCTCCCTCGGCCTGGGGCTCCATGCAAGATCTCACCTCGTGGAGTTGCAATGATCATGAGAACGGTGAGGAATCAGCCCAGAACTACACGGGAGGATCTTGTCAATGATCTCAAGGCAGCTGGGACCATAGTCACCAAGAAAACAATTGGTAACACACTATGCCCTGCCCGCAAGGTCCCCCTGCTCAAGAAAGCACATATACATGCCCGTCTGAAGTTTGCCAATGAACATCTGAATGATTCAGAGGAGAACTGGGTGAAAGTGTTGTGGTCAGATGAGACCAAAATTGAGCTCTTTGGCATCAACTCGCCGTGTTTGGAGGAGGAGGAATGCTACCTATGACCCCAAGAACACCATCCCCACCGTCAAACATGGAGGTGGAAACATTAGGCTTTGGGGGTGTTTTTCTGCTAAGGGGACAGGACAACTTCACCGCATCAAAGGGACGATGGACGGGGCCAGCTTCCCTCAGCCAGGGCATTGAAAATGGGTCGTGGATGGGTATTCCAGCATGACAATGACCCAAAACACACGGCTAAGGCAACAAAGGAGTGGCTCAAGAATAAGCACATTTAGGTCCTGGAGTGGCCTAGCCAGTCTCCAGACCTTAATCCCATAGAAAATCTGTGGAGGGAGCTGAAGGTTCAAGTTGCCAAACGTCAGCCTCGAAACCTTAATGACTTGGAGAAGATCTGCAAAGAGGAGTGGGACAAAATCCCTCCTGAGATGTGTGCAAACCTGGTGGCCAACTACAAGAAACGTCTGACCTCTGTGATTGCCAACAAGGGTTTTGCCACCAAGTACTAAGTTATGTTTTGCAGAGGGGTCAAATACTTATTTCCCTCATTAAAATGCAAATCAATTGATAACATTTTTGACATGCGTTTTTCTAGTTTTTTTTTGTTGTTATTCTGTCTCTCACTGTTCAAATAAACCTACCATTAAATTTATAGACTGATCATTTCTTTGTCAGTGGGCAAACATACAAAATCAGCAGGGGATCAAATACCTTTTTCCCTCACTGTAGGAGTGGAGAAAATATTTGTGGAATGTGCTCCTCAGTCCTTGTGTTACTGTGATATAGGTAATTTGGTACAATGACGTGTGTAATTTTCACTGTGTAATATCTGTAATATCACGCTCTCTCCCTGCAGGGTGCCTCTTCCAGCCTGGTGGTGAAGTTTGCGGACTCTGAGAAGGAGCGAGGGATAAGGCGCATGCAGCAGGTGGCGTCCCAGCTGGGGGTCATCAGTCCCATGACCTTACACCTCGGGGCTTACAATGCCTACACACAGGCAGTGAGTACTAGTAGCACTGAAACCCAAACACAGGCATTATGCAGAGATTGTAATACTCAAGCCAAATGGCACCCTATTTCTTATATGGGTCAGAAGTAGTGCACTACTATAGGGAATAGGGTGCCATTTGGGATGTATCCTGACAGTGAATGAGACGCCCTCTCTCCTTCTTTGTAGCTGGTGCAGCAGCAGGCTCTGGTGGCCCAGTCGGCGTACTTATCTCCTGTGTCCACCATCACCATGCAGCAGTTGGCTGCCCTCAACCCCAGCAGCCTCATTGCTACGCCCATCGCATCACTCACTACCACCTCAGGTACTTAATGAGAAGCTACCGTCCTCCGCCACTTCATCCCCTCCCACAGGATTCTCTGCTCGTCTCAGTTTCTCTTTATTCTTTATATATATTTCTTTTTTCTAGAGTCTTTGCTCCGTTTTTTTCTGCTTTTGATTCCATTTTATTGCATTTGTTATTGTGTTTGTTTGACCATGTCGGCCTGTCCCCTGAATGGTCGTCCTGTTCAGGTACCAGCACTCCGCCCACCATGGCAGCCACACCAGTGCCTGCTCTGCCTCCACCACTCAGCTACCCTCCAGTGCCAGCTCCACCCAATGGACAGTCAGCGTCTGAAACCCTGTACACCAATGGAGTTCATTCTTACCAAGGTATCTCACTTAATCTGATGGAAGCAAAGTCAGAGTATCATTATGAAAATGTAAGCACAATAACCTTATCTAGGATTTTGGTTTGTTTACTAAGAATGGAAGTTGTTGCACGGCACCCAATGCTATTTGGAGCATGTAAGCATCCTCCAAAAAGCATGTTTGTATAGCAATTGATAAATCATGCTGTTAATTTTCTTTGATTATCTCTCTCAGCTCAGACTCCAGTTTTGGATCCTCTTCAGCAAGCGTACGCAGGGATGCAGCACTACACAGGTGGGGCAGTAGTGAGTCCATTTGAGTCCTTAAAATTTCCTGGAGGGAATTTTAGGTTTGAAATGCCCTCTCAACAGTCCTTAATGTTTACCTATGCAAACACACCCACAGCAACCTACCCTTCTGCATATGGAATGGTGGGACAGCCATTCCCACACCAACACACAATGGTTGCACAGCAACATCAGCAGCCTCAGCAACTGCAGCAACGAGAAGGTGATTTCTACCTACTTGTCCTCCCTTCTGAATTCTGAATTCTCCCTTTTGACTATTTTCAATGTTGGTTTCCCACAAAGTTTAGACTGCCTCAATCACTACCTCATCCTGATAATCTCAAGTCACGTTAGAACCCCCCAGGGAGCCTTGATGGGCTAACCTTCCACTGTATTCTTCTTCTGCTTCTCAGGGCCTGAGGGCTGTAACATCTTCATCTATCACCTGCCTCAGGAGTTCACTGACTCTGAGATGCTACAAATGTTCATCCCCTTCGGCAACGTCATCTCAGCAAAGGTCTTTGTTGACCGTGCCACCAATCAGAGCAAGTGCTTTGGTGAGTGATGATGATGACAACGAATGCGTCCCAAAAGGCACCCTATACCGTAGGCAGTGCACTACTTTTGACCAGTGCCCATAGGGAATAGTGTACCACATTGAGAACACAGTCAATGATGATAATGAGGAGGCAGTGCTGGGAAGGATTACTCCCATCTTGTAGTTTAATACTTTCACAGAATTGGCCATAACGTTTTGCTTCTGTTTGCTTCTCTTCAGGTTTTGTGAGTTTTGACAACCCGTCCAGTGCTCAGACGGCAATTCAGGCCATGAATGGTTTCCAGATTGGCATGAAGAGGCTGAAGGTGCAGCTCAAGAGGCCCAAGGATGCCAACCGACCCTACTAAATGAGGTGAGCAAGGGGGGATGAGAATGAGGGGTGAGATGGAGGGTCAGGGGGACTGACAGGCAATGAAAATTTGTGTGAAAGGTAGGTTATGGGATAAAGGGATAATTTGTTTAAATTTTGTGGAAGCTCAGTATTAAAATGATTACTTATCAACTGGGATCAAATAAGTGAACCAGATCCACACGTGAGTGAGGTGACAGTCTACTAAAAGCAGTAATTGTTTAAAACATTGAATTTAGACAAAATCATAGGACTACTTGGTTTGTTGAGATATGGCCATACCACTGCCATGACAAATGGGTTTCATTATTCAAAAGAAGATTTTAAATAGTCCAGACAAATGTTTCATTAACAAGTGTTGTATGATTAGGTTGAAGACAATAACTATTATACGTCATTAATTTATTTTTTTACTTTTTATTTATTGTTTTTGTGCTGTGTCATATGTCCTTTTCCTGAAAAAAACATCATACCACACTCAAGACTGTCCTGTCCATACATATATCGTGGAGACTACGTCGCTATGGTTGCCTAGCAACCGCTAAAACCCCCTTCCTCTCACAGCGTTGTAAGTTAATTGGCCTGTGTTGGTTGCTGTGGCAATATTGCCTGTGATGGTTGCCATTAGCTATTTTATTTTTGGCCGTTGCCTTTATTGACCATGCTCAACTGCATGGCGAGTTGCTGTGGCGACCATGAATTGTGTTTGGTGCGTTGTGAGTTTCCTCTATTATTTTGTCCTGTTTCTATCCTTGCAAACACTGATAAATTACTGTCACTGTACCTCAGATTTTGTAAGCAATTGATTATCATGACAGGCTATTATATATTTTTGTAATATAAGTATTTCATTGCCCAGAGCAATAGTAAGCATTAACCGTAAATCAAACGTATCTAAATATTTTCTTTGGATTTTGTTTTTGATTAGTTTCCTTTTTGTTGTTTGTCATGATTATCATTCTTACATATCCCCAATGTTTAGTTGGTTGTTGTTTTAGTTTCGGTGAGTGCAGGGTTTTTGTGCGGTCGTAATTGAATCCAAGTGACTTTGTGCCTGAACTTTGTTTGTTTTTGGGATGACTGATTGTGAAAAGAAGTATGTGTAGCCTACCTACAAGTTAGTGACATAATGATGCTGTGTACGTGTGTGGATCCACATGAAGTACTTGTGTGTATTAATAAAGAAAGTAGTGTGTGTGGTTTTGTGTGTGTACCAAGTGAGGGTTTTGGGTAAAACTGTATGGTTTGTCATTGTGACACGTCACACGTGCTGCTGACTGAGGAACAGCATTCCTCTGTAGGAATTCTGGGTTACTACGATATTCCAATCAAACAAAAAGCCATAGGCTACGGTCTCATGTGCAACCTTTGATATAACAGCTTATTTTAGAGGATACGTTTGAAAATCGTCCTCTGTTATCTCTTAAAATGATTTAAGGAGAATTTTGAATCTCTTGACACAATTGTTTGTTCAATGAGATGTAACATTAGACTAGAGTATTAAGAAGCGATACAAAAACAATACCGCCCAGAATTCCTATTGTGCATGTTTCAAATTTATTTATTTGCCTGCCAAAACAAGACAAAAAATATTTTAGTAAGAAATGCACACCAAAGCAGCAGTATGGTTGTCACTGTATGAGTCGCATGTACACTAGGCGTGCCTGTATAGTTAAAAACGAGACGTGATATGTGTAACCAACGTGTTTGCAGATGTTTCTCCCACACTACCAAAGAGTGTGAACATGTTCCATATAGATGCTAAACTATTTTAATATTTGTATTCGTCCTCTTTCTTTCTCTGTCTGTCTCTCTCTCTTTCCCAGGGAATGTATAAGAGTTCTATCAAGAAACTACTTGGGACGTTCCAGCCTTTTGGTTGGTTTCGCCAACCGTATAGCACAGGAGCAACAACACTTCTCGAAAAATATAAAATATATGTATCTGCAACAACAAATCTGCAACAACAAAATAACAAATGGGTGGTGGAGTACACATACCATTCCACAGCTGGATTCAGTCATATTATGTACATACTGTACTGTCAGCTACAAGGTCTACATGAAAAAGCATAACACTTATTCTAATGATCAGGGTTTTACTGTATAGTGTGGTTTGTGGTCCATAACGTAAGAGGGAAGGGCAATGTATGGGGATGGAGAAGTGGGATGGTAACCTTTATTGGAAGGAGAAAAAAAAATATTCTGTATGATTACCATTGGTCGAATTGGTATGTAGATTTAGTTTATTATTTAAAAGTAAATTAAAGAAGGGGTAATTAAACAGGAAGAAAATCAACTTCTTTTCACTGTACATATCTTTGTTTTAAATGGAGTCAAATAATTAAAATATGTGTTATTACAACCACTACTACTGGTGGAAGGGAGGGGAATTGGGTAGAATTTTTTAAACATTTTTTACTTTTAATTTATTTGTTAATGGCAATTTTTTATTTGAGAAAATAGAAGATTCCTGTGGTCTACAAGACTATGGATAAACTTATTGTAGAATGTTTAATTACATAAATGTAATTATCATAAAATCATAATTGTTTCATTATTTATTCCCTACAATTGCTGTTTTAAAACATATGTCATTAAGGAAAATAAAGTAAAAAAATTTAAATCATGTGTGCGTATGTGGATATGCATTGATGTGCAACAGAGAGCTGTGGGTTTTTAAATATATACCCTGAAAGATGTGTGTTTTCACTCTGCTCTAGGAAACTACACTGTTAGTAAAGGTTAAATATTTGATGCCTGCTTGTCATTTGAAAGCATAACCAATTAACACCACATTTATTCTAATTTGTGTTGTTTTTTTCCCCCTGTTAAGAGAAAATCCTGTGTAGCTCAGTTGGTAGAGCATGGCGCTTGCAACGCCAGGGTTGTGGGTTCGATTCCCACGGGGGGCCAGTATAAAAAATTTATAAAAATGTATGCACTCACTAACTGTAAGTCGCTCTGGATAAGAGCGTCTGCTAAATGACTAAAATGTAAATGTAAAATAATCATTAAAGTTGTTAGGTTTATGTCCCATCCTTCATCCTGATGTTACCACGTTATGACCACTAGATGGTGCTGTTCCAGCTATAATGTAATATTTATTTAAAGCTCAATGTTAAAAGGATAGTTCACTCAAATTACAAAATGACATTGGTTTCCTAAGACAGGAACCCATGCTTTGGTTTTGTTCACCTGGCCACGGTTTCAGATGCTAACTTTTTAGTCAATGGTACCAATGTTAGCATTTCTGCGTTTCATATCCAAATCCATGGTCCTCTGTAGCTCAATTGGTAGAGCATGGTGCTTGTAACGCCAGGGTAGTGGGTTCGATCCCCGGGACCACCCATGACTGTAAGTCGCTTTGGATAAAAGCGTCTGCTAAATGGCACATTATTATTATTATTATTATTATTATTATAAATCATCTATAAGTAACATTGCGTTACACAATCCATTTTTAGATGCTCTAGGGTGTTTTGAACATGAAGTGTGAAAATGCTAATATACAGTGCCTTCAGAAATCCACATCCCTTTACTTTTTCCACATTCTGTTGTGTTACAGCCTGAATGTAAAATATATTAAAGTGCGATTTTTTTTGTTTTGTTACTGGGCGACACATAATACCCCATAATGCCAAAGTGGAATTATTATTATTTTTACAAATTAATAAATGTCTTGAGTCAATAAGTACTCAAGCCCTTTGTTATGGCAAGCCTAAATAAGTTCAGGAGTAAAAATACTTAACAAGTCACATAATAAGCTGCATGGACTCAGTCTTTGTGTAATAATAGTGTTTAACATGATTTTTGAATGACTACCTAATCTCTGTATCCCACACATACAATTATCTTTAAGGGCCCTCTGTCGAGCAGTGAATTTCAAGCACAGATTCAAGCACAAAGACCAAGGAGATTTTCCAATGCTTCACAAAGAAGGGCACTGTCACGACTTCGGCCGAGGCTGCCTCCCCTCCTTGTTCGGGCAGGCTTCGCCGTTCGTCGTCCCCGGAGTACTAACCACTGCCGCCCCAATCATCATCATCATCATCATCATCACAATTGTCTTGTCAATCACACACACCTGGTTCTAATGCCCTAATTAGTCTGTGTATAAGTGTTCCCTCTGCCCCCTTGTCCTTGTGGGTGATTGTTCATTGTGAGAGTATGTAGCTCGGTGGAGCTACTCATAACATTGTGTTGCCAGGGTAGATTTTCCCCCTGTGCCTATGTATTATTGGAGTCCGTTACAGTGTAATTGCCAGGGATGTTTGTTTCCCCTGTGCCTGTTTCGTTGATCGCTATTGGAGCGCATTTGTGTGTCAACAAAGGAATAAACTCTGTATTCGGTGATTACCCTCCTGCGCCTGACTCCTTTCACCACAGAATCACCTGCCCGCTATGGAGTCAGCGGGAGAAGAGCGCATGCCTGGAGTCGTGGCACGGGTCCAGGAGCATTCCACGATGCTGGCCAGCTTGGGGGAAGCGATGGATCGGGTTCTTCAGGTCGTCCAACGCCTGGAGAGGAGAGGACCCGATCTGTCGAGACCAGCTGGCCAACCGGATCCAGCCATCTACACCCCAGCACCCGGAGGGATCCAGATATCCCGACCACGGGCGTTTGATGGGACGGTGGCGATGTGCCAGGGATTCCTCCTCCAATTGGAGCTTTACTTCGCCAGCATCAGACCCGCGCCATCGGAGCGGGAGAAGGTGTCCGTCCTTGTTTCCTGCCTCTGTGGGAAAGCCCTGGAGTGGGCCAACGCGGTGTGGAACGAGGGAGGAGCCGCATTGGAGGACTACAGGGAGTTCGCTCGCCTCTTTCGGGCGGTCTTCGATCACCTGCCTGAGGGTCGAGAGGCGGGTGAACGGCTGGTCCACCTGAGGCAGGGGACGAGGACCGCGCAGGACTTCGCGTTGGAGTTTTGGATGCTGGCAGCGGGGCCCGGGTGGAACGAACAGGCCCTGATCGACCATTTCCGGTGCCATCTGCGGG